TGTATATGGCATACTGGTGTGACGCTGTGGGCTAATGGGCCAGACTGCAAAGTTGGCAGTTCAAGCTCGCCTGCTGCTCCTCTAAAACCCTATACAGGGTCGCTGTGAGTCTCAGTCAACTTGAAGGCACTTAACAACAAAACATATGTGTGTGTGTATATTATATATATATACCTCACATATAAGAATTTGAAAGAGAATATTGGAACATGAGTATTTACCTTTTCTACAAACACAACTATGAATGTGGTGGAGCATACATACACTGGGCAAAATTATGAAAATTTATTAGGTATTATCAAACATCTTAAGGCAATGAGATGCTGGGCCTGGGCTCTCAGGACCCTAGTCTCAGTGGACACTGGTCAGTTGGCGTAACATAGTCCACAAAGACAATGTTGTACATCCTACTTTAGTGAGTACTGCCTGGGATCTTAAAAGCTCATGAACGGCCCTCTACAGTGCAGCTTTTGGTCTTTCCATGTGCAGAAACAAAAACAGTGATGAGAATTGAAGAGGCTTGTAATCAGTCCAATGGACTAATGCAACATGTGAACATCAGTCTCCAATGACTCTGAGACCAGAACTAGATGGTGCCCGGGTCCCACTACCAACTGCTCTGAAAGGGGTTACTAGTCATAAATAAACTGGAGGAACCTGAGACTAGGGCCTTGGAACACCTTCAGATCTGGAATGGAACTCACCCTTATGGTGCAAGGTTTGTATTAGTAGGCAGGATTGTCAGTCACTGTCTACAAGGATGGCAGTTCTCTCTCTGTTAATCAGAATCTTCCCTAATTCACACAATGACTTTTGACATTTTTTTCTCAAAAACCTTTTGTCCTTTTTTGGATCCTCTCAAGAATCGTAGAAGTCTACAGTGAGGCTAATGAAGCAGCTGACTTGATTTGATTCCTATTCAGTCTGAATGTCTTCAGAGAGAAAAGTTTACTTAGTCAGATTGTTTGCTAGCACATCTTGTCCTTGGTTGTAAGAGAGAGGATGAGATGGTGAGATCTCTGCTTCATCTTCCAAGTTCTTCTAGCAGAGAAAATGCAAAGCACAGTCATTCCACAGAGTCCATAAATACCATTTTCCCTTTTAATTATAATTTTTAGGTATTGGATCTGAAAATATTTTCCCATATTCCCAAATCCCAAGGTCTCCCTCTATACCTTTTCTTTGGAGTTAATAGTATAACAAAATACTGTTTTGCCTGACTCTGAAATGAAAGTAGTTTCATGTCTAATCGTGAGTGAATCAGGAGTATATTATGTTTCTTTTGACACAACAAAAATAATCTTCCCTCAGCACTTTCCAAAAATTATTTTATCTTGTAGAGTTTGAAGTCCCCTCTAGTTTAAGGCCAGGTCTGGTGAATTGCTCCCATAAAGATTATAGCCTAGATAACCATATGGGACAGTTCTATACATGAGGTTGCTATAAATTAAAAATTGACTCTACCTGCTGGCTATAGGGGTTCAGGACCATAGTCTTGGGGGACATGATGGTCAATTGGTATAATGTAACCCTCAAAGACAGGGTTCTACATTCTGCTTTGGTGAGTAACAGCTTGATCTTAAAAACTTATGAGCTGCCATCTAAAGTGCCAATATTGGTCTCTCCCTGTCTGGAGAGAAGAAGAATGTGAACTGATGACACTTGGACACACTTAGAACATGTGAACATCAGTTTTCACGACCCTGAGACTGGAAGAACTAAACGGAGCCTGGCTACCACTACCAATGGCTGGCTCTGAAAGGGATCACATTATAAGGTCCTAGATTTGTTGTTGTTAGGTGCTGTCGAGTTGTTACCAACTCATAGTGACCTTATGCACAACAGAATGAAGCATTACATGGTCCTGGCTAGCCTCACAATTGTTGCTACACTTGAGTCCATTGCTGCTGCCACTGTGCCAGTCCATCTTTTTGGGGGTCTTCCTCTTTTTCACGAACCCTCAACCTTACCAAACATGATATCCTTCTCCAGTGACTGGTCCCTCCTAACAATATGTCCGAAGTAGGAGATACAAAGTCTGGCCACCCCGGTTTCTAAGGAGCACTCTGGCTCTATATCTTCCAGCACAGATTTGGTTTGTTCTTTTGGCAGTCCATGGTACTTTTAATATTTTTCTCCAACAACATAACTCAAATGTATCAATTCTTCTATGGTCTTCTTTATTCATTGTTCAACTTTCACATCAGTCTCTTAAAAATACTATGGCTTGGGTTAAGTGCATCTTAGTCCTCAAGCTGACATTTTGCTCTTGAATATTTTAAAGAGGTCTTGTGCAGCAGATTTGCCTAATGCAAATTAATTATGGAAAATTAAATCAAGTCCACAAGAGCCAAAATATAATCTTGAACATATCCCACCTGAATTTAGAGATCATCACAAGAACAGATTTGATGCATTAGACATGATTGACTGAAGATCAGAAGAATTGTGGGATGCAGAAAGAATATCTTATGGGAAGAAAGCAAAAGGTCATTAAGAAAACAAGAAAGAAGAAAAAGCTCAAAATGGCTGTCAGAAGACACTTTGAAACTTGTTCTCCAGTATAGAGATTCTAAAGCATATGGAAGAAATGAGGGGGTGAAAGAACTGAATGGAAAAATTTAAAGGGCAGTTTGAGAAGACAAAGTCAAATATTATAATGAAAAGGTCCTATACAGAATAGGAAAAATGTAGAATAAAACTCAAAAAAAAAAAAAGACCAACTTTACTGGACAGAGACTGGTGGACCCCGTGACTCTGGACCGTGGCCACCCTTCAGGTCTGGAAATGAATTCATTGCTGTGGTTCAATTTTCAGCCAAGCAGTGGATCGGAATATAGGGGGATGACACCAGTAAGGTATGCACACCATGGAATGTTCAGCCATTCAAGATCAAAAGGGCAGCATTTACCTAAGGACAAAATTCAGAAGGATTGGGAAAGGAGGAGGAAGGGACGCAAGAAGCACAAAAAGGAAGTGGGAGAAGTGATGTTACATGGAGCGGGGACTATAGTCATTGGGATGAGGTCAGATGAGATGAGGTGTATGATTTGTTGGATGCAAAACTCTTATCTGCTCAGTAAACCTTCATTCAATTTATGGTGAAAACTTAAAAAACAAAACCAAACCCTCAAAAACCTGACAATACTTAGCAGTTGGTTAAGGTATTCATGGTTTTTATGTAGTAACTTGCATAAATTGTTAGATTTGAATTTTTTTTGCATTTTAATACATACACAATTAATACAAGCTTGTGTTAAAGTGTTTTTTGTGAATTGAGTGAAGGTTTACAGGACAGATCATTAGTTTTACATTCAATAAATCATTGCAATGATTCCAGTTACTTCAGTGCACCATCAGCTAACAGCATTTACCTCTGTTACCTTTTTGTTTGTTTTTGATGTACACATACCACATTGAAAAAATATATTCATTTAACTGTCCAAAGGCCACACTTTGCTAGCCAGCACCCTGACCGCAGTGCATGAACCTATACTTCACTGCAGTTATCTCTGTTTGTCATCGTCTCTACCACCATCTCTGTTGTCATCGCCACCTTTCTGCTTAGGATCCTTCACTCCTCTCATGCTCTTCCCTCTTGATGGCTCTAGGGTCCTCTGTTCCTGAAATGACAAATTAACTGCTCCTCCCCCCTCCCCCCTTTAGTTAAATCGCATCCACATTTACAGTTATGGTAATTTCTGGCGGCACTCTGTCTGGATAGGGTACTGCATGCCACTCTTCTCCCTTGATGGTCCCAGGGACCTCTGCTCCTGGACTGCAAAGTCAGTCACTCCCCTCTTTTTGCTACAAAACATCTACCTTTACATTTCCAACCCTCACAGTCAGTCCTAATAACAATTATTCAGTATTGTACCACACACACACACACACACACACACACACACACACACACGAGACCTATCCCCATCACCTTTCATCACCCCACCCAGATAGATTGGATACTACTTAGTGGAGATTCTACCTTCCTACGCACCCGCACCCTACGGATACAGGCTTCCTCTTGAAAGTTTGTATGCCAGTCACTTCTTACCTTTGTAGCCCCCACCATTGGCCACTTCACTCTTAACTCTAACCTCTAGTGGGCTCCAGAGTTCACACATCTCCCTGAACATCAAACCAGCCATCCCCTTCAATGGTGTATTTCCTCCACTTCCACTTACAAGCTGACCTTTGTGGTCAGCGAGTTTAGGAATGAGACTATTTGAGTGTTTCCTTTAAGTCTTAGTCTTAGAAAGGGGTTTACCCTGATGGGCTGACTTTTGTTGCCTTCATAGCTCCAAGGCAAACAGCTTGCTTGATATTGTCATAAACAACCTGCTTCCTCAATGCCACCCAGGTTGATCTTTCAAGTTTCTTTTGTTTGTCTAGTTATTCTGAGTTGGTCTGCATGTCTTTTCAATTAGGAATGTCCCACCTCCTAAGGTTTTGGCTAGGGTTCAGGATTCCACCTGAGGGCCCATACTCCACAAAGGCTTAACAAGAAACCTATTTCACTGGGTACATTCTAGTCCCCTTTCAGATAATCCAATCAGTTGTAGGTTGAAGATGCTTTTACAAGCTTTCTGTAATCATATTTCCCAATATCCTTTCGATCCCACTTAAATGTCTGTATTACAGTAGTAAGCAGGGGAAAACAATAGCCATAAAACAGTCAAGCACCTGAACGTTATTTCCCCTCCTTTAGCCTTTCAGATATGTCTCGATCCTTTATCAGAGAGCCCAGTTGTTCCAAAGGCTGTGCATATGGCACAATCTACCTGTATTCCATTTAGCCCATGCTTACCTCCTTAAGTCAGCATCTCTTTTTTTTTATTTATGTCCAGATCTTTTCAGATGTATAGTAGGTTCAGTGTGGAAATGGTTTCTTACCTCATATAAGGAAAATTTTAGACTTTTAAAATTACTTCCAAGAATAACTATTGTTTCTCCTTTCTTCCTACTATAGACTCTCAAATCTTTTCTTGTTATCTCTACAGATTTAACCCGGAGACTGACTTCAATGTAGAAACACCCACAATTGTATCAATGGTTGGGAAAAGATCGTGACAACGGGTAACAGAAGGACATCTCTGACATCGTAAGGACTATGAGTATGCTCAAACCAAGTGGGCTGAAGGCCCCAACCAAGATCCTTAAGCCTGGAAGCACAGCCTTGAAGACTCCAGTTGCTGGTAATGCTTCATGCTTATGCCATTACATTGTTGTTGTTGTTAAGTGCTGTCAAGTTGGTTCTAACTCATAGCGACCCTGTATAGGGTTTCTGAGAAGCAGCTGGTGAGTTTGAACTGCCGACTTTGCAGCTCAAACAGCCTTGCAATTTAGTGCTTATCCTACAGCGCTACAGCAGGACTTGCCATTAGAAGAGCAAGTAATTTATCATCAAGTATGAAGACTGTAATTTGAAAATTTTTAAAACACAAGCTTAGAACAATCTGTATTCCAAAAATTGTTGAAAAAGTTGTAATCAAAAGGCATCAAATTCAAATTTTATATCCTGAAGTCATAGTCAGTGAAGAGTTGTCTTTTTTTGTTAGTTACATTAAAATTTAGTTTATTTCATGCAATGTGTTACAGTGGTTTTCATGTTAAGTACTTCAGTTTTTAGCCCTTAAAATGTTCAGATATTTCTTTATTCTCCTCCAACCCCTGCCTGTCATCTGTCTCCCTGAGCTCATCAGAACATTCTTTCTTGACGTTTAAAGACAGAGAAAAGAAACTCGTGTAGCTTGAAAGATTTTCTGAAACTGACCTGAAGGTGGCCATTGGTGTCCAGGCATCTGGCAGTAGTGTCGTAAGTCTTACTCATTTTTTAGGAGAGCCCCTGCCCTTAATGTTCATCAGTCATCTATTCCTCATCTCTTCTTGTCACATCCATCATTTTAGTTTATATTCCATAATGAACACCTGGGGAGCACAGGAGCTCTGTGAAATAAGCTCTGGACTGTGAACCAGCCCACCAGCCTCTCTGTGGAACTAAGATGAGGCTTTCTGCTCCCACAAAAATTTATAGCCTCAGAATCCTTAAACAGGAACTGACTCAACTTGACTGCCCTTAGCAACAACAATGAACACCTAAGGTCTTTAATAACAGAGACAGGAGGGAGTACACCTATGGTTGCTCTTAGGGCTCCTTAGGTGATTTATATACTGTTAGATATCTTCCTGATGTTGCTAGCCATTTCAGACACCTGGCTACCCATCATAGTATATGAAATCCCACATGATTTCTAAACTCAAGTTCTTCTGTGAAGACACTCATTGGCCTCCATGACAACAGAGATCTGGTCTCCTCACTTTTGCTCTAAGCCACACATCTAGAACACCTCCCTGCCTGCAACAGAATCTCAGTAGATATCTGTTGCATCAGTGGAGATCCTAAGTTATATACATTTTATGTGATAAAGCTGGGTTTTTATCAGAGAGGCTTCACAAGATCTTGTTAAATACCAGCGAATTGATTCTGTCTCATAGCAACCCTGTATAAAGTTTCTGAGGAGTGGCTGGTGGGTTTGAACTGCTGACCTACAGTGCACATAAGGGGAAAGCTTTACTAATGAGATAAAGGACAACAAGTCAGGTGGATTTCTTTCAGGGCTATTTAGAACAAACTTGGTGTCCCCTTGCCTTTACAGTCCTCCTCTTCTTCTTAAGAGTCCTTTCCATGCCAGCTCTTTTGTTGTGTCTTCTACAGGGATACCCCACTACCTTGTAGAATTGTCCGTTCTTCACTTTCAGCATTTGTTATGTAGAGCCCATGTTTAATAAAATCCTTGAATCTATGGATCATGAGTAACTCAACTCAAATGTACACGAGAAGAGCAAAGCAGCTTATTAATATTCAAATAGACACAGTGGCAGCACCAGGGTCTTAAACATAAAACAATATGAGGATGGCACAACTCCAGACAGTGTTTCATTCTGTTGTGCCTAAGGTCATTACGAGTCAGAACAGCAATATTCAAACTGACATGCTTAGAAGGAGATCGTTGCCAAGGAATTCCAGGCACTTTTATAAAGATTGTTTCCCAGAGATCCGTGCTCCCAGCAGCCTGTGAAGAACAATTGTAGATGGTCTAAGCTTAGAACAGACACTGAAACTCTAACTGGGCTGGCCTCTGGCTTTGGCAGATGATTATCTGTTCTTTCTGAGAACCTCTGTTCATTTCTAAAAAAGCAAAAAGCCTCCACAAATGGACATTCTACAACTTCTCTATGTTGGTTAATGAGATATCTGACACCTGTCTAGGCTGCCTAGGCTGTCTTCCTAATCTTTGCATAGTTCACTCAGGCCAGGTGTCACCTCCACAGCACTTAGACCTGAAATCACCTGGTGCGTCACCGTCCTGTGTGTTTCCTACGTCTAGACCCTGAGCTCTGTGAGACCATGGACTGTGCTGTGTTTCTTTGTCCCCTGACCCAGAGCAGTGCCTGGGACTTGACCCTAGTATTAGGAGCTCAATAAACATGCACAGAGCGGATATATTCACTATCTTACTGAATCGTCATTTAAAAAATCCTCAAGTTTTTATTTCCTTTTAGGTAAAGAAACTGAACTCACAGAGGTCATGTAACATTCTAAGATCACAGTGTGCCCGATAAGCAGTAGAGTAATTAAGAATGTGGGCTTCGAAAAATTTACTAAATATTTAGTATGTGTTACAAGAATGTGGTAATGAATTTCCATAGTAAATACCATGTTCCTGGCAAAATAAAACTACTGGCTTTACCCCCTATATGGCAGAAATTGCTCAAAATTACATTGATTTGATGGGGAGTTTGGCCAGATGCTGCCTTTTTTTTTTGCTTTGCTTTGGCATTCTTGGAGTAATGGTGCCATGAGCTGCAGTACTGAGTCCCTTCCTTCACTGAGCCAGATTGTGAATCTGGTTACATGATCCTCACTTGTCAGCTTTAGTTGACTTCTCATACATAGGACTAGACTTCCTCTCCATTAGTGAAGACTTGTTTTGTCTTGCTCTGATTTCTTCCTGTCGTAACTGCAAACAAAGAAAACTAAAACATTTCTCTAAGAGGTGTGGGCCACCCCTGGTGCCACTGGCTTTCTCTAGTTTATTTCCCTTTAAGTTATGGATTGGATTGAATGTGAAGTTGTTTCCTTTAAGTTATGTGCTTCAGTGTGAAGTTGTATGTGTTCTGATCCTTTCTTCTGTTTCCAGTTATAGCTCCAGTAGACAAAGCAATATCCAGTGAAAAAGCTCCAAGCATTCCCTCTGAGACACAAGAGGAATTTGTGGATGACTTTCGAGTTGGGGAGCGAGTTTGGGTGAACGGGAATAAGCCTGGATTTATCCAGTTTCTTGGAGAAACCCAGTTTGCACCAGGCCAGTGGGCTGGGATTGTTTTAGATGAACCCATCGGCAAAAATGATGGCTCAGTGGCAGGAGTCCGGTATTTCCAGTGTGAACCTTTAAAGGGTATATTTACCCGACCTTCAAAGTTATCAAGGAAGGTACAAGCAGAAGATGAAGCTAACGGCCTACAGACGACTCCTGCTTCCAGAGCGGCCTCTCCTCTGTCCACTTCTGCAGCCAGTGCCGTGTCATCCTCCCAAGCAACCCCTGCAAATCTTCCCCATAAAATATCCCAGACTGCAGCAAAGGAAGCTCCGACTACGCCTCAGATTAGCAACCTTACAAAAACTGCCAGCGAATCCATCTCTAACCTTTCAGAAGCTGGCTCAGTCAAGAAAGGAGAGAGAGAGCTCAAAATTGGAGACCGAGTATTGGTGAGTACAGGAGCTTTTTAGGTCACGGTGCAGCTCTGCGGTAGAATCTCCGGTGAGCAGATGAAATGCACACATGGGGTGCTCTTCCACTCCGAGTCTGTGCTGGGCAGATGGCCACACGTTTTTTGAGAATCTAATCAGCTTTTTGGGTTGCTTAGTTTTTGCATAAACATGTAACAAAGTCAAAATCTGCTGTGTAGTTTGTGTATTGTGTGAGCATAGATTTGTGATGGCAGATTAGTTTTATCTACCACCTTAGTGAGATTGTGTGTGTTGTTGGTAAGTGCTGCTGAATCAGTTCCAACTCATAGTGACCTTGTATAGGGTTTCCAAGGAACCAGCTGGTGGGTTTGAACTGCCGAGCTTGTGGTTCACAGTCCAGTGCTGATCCTGTAGTGCCACACCAGCAGTCTGAGCTTGTGTGTAGAACTTGTCAGTGTTAAAGAAATCAGACTATTTAGGTATGTATGTGAATGTTTATTTTTGTTGTTGTTGAATTTTTAATGAGGTCTTTTATTTTCATTAAAAATTTTTAGTGAGTTTTTGAGACTATATACAGCAAAACATAACACCAATTCAACATGTATTTTACAACACGTGATTATACACTGCATGTATAATTCAGTGACGTAGATGACATTTTTCCGATTGTACAACCATTCTCACCCTCTTTCTGAGTTGTTCTTGCTCCATTAACATCAACTCCCTGCCCACTAAGGTCTTTTGAGCTGCTGTTGTCAGCTTGATCCCATGTAGGAAGATCTTGAAAGAGTACAGTGCTCAAGGCAGACAATCTTTGGTAGCTAAGCTAAACTATTGTTTGGTTTTAAGAAGATTTCAGGGGATAGTTTTGATTTGAGTGTTAAAGATCCTCTCTCGACAATAGTTTTGGGATTCATCTGACGTCCAGAAAGTCTGGATTCTATGAGCATTTGCTCAGGATTCATTTGACCTCCAGAAAGTCTGGATTCTGTGAGCATTTGCTCAGGATATGTCTGTTGAATCTTGGATCAAATAGTTTTCTAGTATGTGGGTGTATATATATAAGCTGCTTCCTTAAATGTCCTTATTGTTGTTGTTGTTAGATGCCATTGAGTTGGTACCGACTCATAATGACCTTATGCACAACAGAATGAAACACTGCCCTGCTCTGCCCGGTCCTGGGCCAATATCCTAGGGACACTCAGACTTGCTCATTTCCATGGAATATGTTAGTTCAGAATTTCTGATCCTTCTAAATTATCAAATTTGGTTTAGGAAGAGGGAGGAAGGTAACATGCAGGGTTACAGTATTCCTGATAAGCACAGGAAAAAAGTCCTGTCTGAAGTTGCAACGTAGTGATTGCTTGGACTGTTTTTGTGTGAAAAAACAATAGGCAATGTAGCCAGCAGAGCTGAGCACAATGCTAAGGAGCACTACCTGAGTCCCACCTTAGCCCTTGTTGCCTCAGACAGTCTATTTAAGGAACCCTTAGTTTTTGTTTTTTTTTTTTAAATGTTTTATTGTGAATTATGTGATAGTTTACATAGAACATTAGTTTTACATTCAGCCTATTGTGTATCATTTCATTGCCATGCTTACAATCCCCTCCATGCATCATCACCCAACCAAAGGGTATACCCTGCAATCCTGCCCCTCGGTCATCAGCACACAGCCCTTCTCCCTCTCTGTGTCTAAAACTCCCCAGCTGCTCCATCTCTCCATGTCATCATCTCTGCCGCCATCTCAGGCATCGTTGCATCTCTGGGTAGGGTCCTGCTCTCCGCTCTTCTCCCTTGATGGTCCCAGGGACCTCTGCTCCTAGACCTTAATCACTCCTGAACCCTTAGTTTTTTCACTTGTAAAAACGAGGTGAATCCTAGTATTGGCCTTTGTGTGTTGTTGTGAGGAGCCCATTAGCTCACATAGCAGAGTGCCCAGTGCACAGCAACTACTCAGGAAATGGTAGCTCTTTTTCTCACTGTTGGAAGTAAAGTATTATCGGATGAAATGTTTAAAGCTTCACTATTGAACTGTTGTCAACACTTTCATCAGTTCTCTTGGGGCATGCATGATGTTTATCTGTTCTTTCAGTTTCCTTTTATTAGTTCTTCAGCTCTAACACTCCACAGGGCCTGATGGCTATCAGTGGTGAGATGGGAAAATAAGAATGACCACTAGCCCTTCAAATTCACTTTGTATTTCAATATTTCACCACCTGTGTCCAATGACCCTGTGTTATTGACAAGGAAACTGAGACTCTGAGAGCTGAAGTCACTTGCCCAAGGTCTAGCTGCAATTTAAATATAAGTATTACGACTCCAGAGCCTACCATGTAGAGTTGTGGATTGATGGGATCATTTTTTAATTTGGAAGTATTCTTTGTAATTGTGTTGGCTTTTAAATAAAGCAAGTTAAGCCTAGAGAAATGTGGTGACTACTCACAGTCATATGATGAGTTCATAGCTGATTTTAGAGCTAGAACTCAGGCTTCCATTTCCCAGTCCTGTACCATCTCCAATCCAGGAGGCCGCCTTACACACGTTGTTGTTGTTGTTGTTGTTGTTGTTTGTCGGGGACCTGCCTCGACATAGGGGTTCGGTTCACGAGGAGGAGATACCTGACGGCGATAAATAGATAGCAAGAATACACAGAAAGAGACAAAGAGAGAGACAATGAGGCACCCCAAAGCCAGGGTGGATATATCACTGGTGGGCAGGCTTGGGACTACAGGCATCGTGGCCTCTGCAGGCAGCAACTCACTGCCCTGCCATCTTTACTGCATGCCTTCCATCTTGTAATGCACTGCAATCTTTACTGCATGCCTTCCGACCCGTAATGCACACCTGGGGAGGCCCGGGCCTCTGCTTTATTTAGGGGAGGAGCTTCACACCAAGCTGGGAGGGACTTAGGCAAGGCACAGCTAGCATCAGTACTTTTCCAGACGTTCAGGTAACTTTACATCGTACTTCGCTGGTTTGAATCCCAGGCCAGCAACTTGGATTCTCAGGCCCAATTAACATATCTATAGCCCCTGAGCTCAGTTGGGGGAAGGTGAGAGGTAAGGACAAAAGCTTGGGCGGAGTCCCCCTGTTTCGGCTTCCTGAGCCAAGTTTTCAGGAGGACTCGAGATGCCCAGGTGAATGGGCTGCACCTGGAAAAGGATTAGGGAGGATGGGTTCTTTGTCTATAGAACAAAGAACCAAGAAGTAGCTAAGATATTTTTAGTTAATCCTTTTGGAGAAAGGCTTGACCTTGCAACCTTTAGTCTTAGGCTTTAGGAAAATATCACATTTATCTGTGGATCATCAAAGGCTCCGTGTATTAGATTAATACATGTAACAATATTAAGATGAAAAACAATTTGCCATAACTGCCAGTGACCTCATTTGTTACACTCGGGCCTATAGGGCCTCGAACCTCTGACCAGTCTTACACGGTCCGCAACAGTTGTTGTTAAGTGCCATCAAGTTGGTTCCCATTCAGAGTGACCTTGTGTACAAGAGAAGGAAACGCTGCCGGGTGCTGAAGCATCCTCACAATCATTGCTGTGCCAGGCAGTCTCCTGGAGGGGCTTCCTGTTTCTCTGCTAACTGTCTTACCTTACAAAGCCTCCTTCTCCAAGGATTGACCCCTCCTAAGGTGGTGGTGGTGGGATTGTTAAGTTGGTTCCGACTGATAGTGACCCTGTGTAGGATTTCCGAGGAGCAGCTGGTGAGTTAGAACTGCTGACTTTGAGGTGAGCAGTTCAGTGCATATCCTATAGCACAACACCTAAAATATACTTGGATTGGCCTTGGTGAGAGGGAGGAAGGAGGTCATCTCTATTTTCATAGGAAGAAAGAGAATGGAGCCCCTGGGTGATGCAGATGGTGAACGCACTCGGGTGGTAACTGAAAGGTTGGAAGTCCGAGTCCACCCGGTGGCACACTGGAAGAAACACCTGGCCATCAGCTGAACCGTCAGCCATGAGAGATCCTGCAGAGTGCATTTCTTCTCTAACACACATGGGGTCACCCGGAGTCACAGTGGTCTCAAGGATTCAGATTAATTTATAGACGTGGTCATGGCATATTTGTTGGAGATTTTGAATTGTATGTTTAAAACTAGTGTACTTGGAACAGAATTTAAATTAGTTTGAGTCTGTAAAGTAATGAAAGTGTATCACTGAGGCAATACAGTGATTTGATGCCTTTGGTTAATATAAGGAGTCCTGGTGGCATTGTGGATTAAGCATTGATCTCTTAGCTTCAAGGTTGGCAGTTCAAATCCACTACCTGCTCCTATGGAAAAAGATGAGGCTGTTCGTTCCCATAAAGATTTATAGTCTCCGATTCCCTAAGAAGCAGTTCTGCTTTATCCTAATGATTTTCTATGAGTTGGAAAACAACCCGATGTCAGTGTGTTTGGTTTGGTGGGCTGGTTAGTATTCCGTGGAGACAATGCAGGCCTACTTCCCAGTCACAGTATTTTAGAGCTGGAAAGGAGAGGTGCTTCTGAGCTCAACTGCCTTCCACTACTTGGTATTCTGAAGGACCAGGGCCTTGCTGCAGGTCATCTAGTAGTTAGCCCTACCTACCCTGTGCCTCGGACCCCTTATACAGGGTTGCTGTGGGTGGAAACCTTGTATAACAACAACAACAACACCGTCTCCTCGAATATCCAGTGACTCTGGGATAGTGTTCCTTTCTACTTGCACAGGCTGCCCTGTTAAGTAGAAACCTTTGATTTAGAAATAGAAAGCATTTTGACTTTAAAATTGCTTAAAGAAATTAGGTTGCAGCAATCTGAAATATCTGGTTAAGGATTTTCCTAATTAAAAAAAAAAAAGCCTTTTGATGATGAAAATGCTTACTGACCATGTAAGAATTGGTCCAGAGTTTTCCCAGCCCCACCCATGGTGCCCTTGGGGTTCCTGCTGCTGCTGACAGGTGCCAAGCAGGCAGGGGTCTAGCCTTCCTCCTCATGCCCAGGCTCCTCTGTAGTCTCTGTTCTTTTTTTTTTTTAAGGTTTTTATTGT